TTTTTTTAGAAGACAAAAACTGAACCCCCAAACGTTTTGGAGTAAATAGAAGCTACTAATACGTATATGACATTGGAAACGTGTTGTCATGAATTGGATTCCAGCAAAGATTACCAGTATATCACCAAGTATATGATTGAATGCTCAATTGACAATGGAGAAAAAGTAAGCACAAATAATCCTACGTATACATATAAATGGCTGCAGCCGACCAATAATATAATGTGGTCTTTGAGTATTTGTGTGTGTGTGTGTGTATATATATATATATATACACACGTATGTATTAATTTTGGGATGCAGATTTGAACTCTACATTTCAAAGTGTATTTAAATAGATTTATTACCAGAATATGCTTGGAAGCCTGCATTTCTCATCAACAATTTTACTAATTATGGGTTTTTTGCTTTAGGCTGGCATTACTGTGTTTATCATAAGTAGCCAGGAGACTCAAATTTAACTTTTTTTTAAGACGAATTAGAATATATATTGATATTGATGTATAAGTCATTTATAATAATAGTTTTCTTTGTGGTACAGATACAATTGTTTGGATATCAGTAGCTATCTTGGTAATCTTATTTATGGTCCAGAGATTTGGAACTGATAAAGTAGGATACACTTTTGCTCCAATAATTTGCGTGTGGTTTGCACTTATTGCTGGCATCGGAGTCCGCAACTTCATCAAGTTTGATCGCACAGTCGTCAAAGCCATAAATCCAAAGTACATAGTAGATTATTTTCAGAGGAACAAAAAAGACGCTTGGATTTCCCTTGGTGGCATTGTTCTAGCCATAACAGGTTAACTCCAAATTCCTTCTTTTCTAAATGACATTACATTCAGTTGCCACTTCAAACCATTCACTTATAATAGAAAAACAGAATTGCATAATTATCTCTTTTTTTCCATTAATGTATTTACTTATAAAATTAAGAATTTAATTTTGATGTTTGATATTAGAACTGTAAGTTTAGGTCGGACTAAACGGGCTAAGTTGGGCCAAGACACTGTTGGCTCAGCCCGCTTAAATGTTCGAAGTGGGATTTAGGTCTTGAATCCAAAACCTTATTCAAAATTGTATTTTTTTCTTAAAAATACGTTGTACATTTCAAACTGGCTAGACCTATCGGTCTTTAGGGCAGACTCTCCTCCTTTTAGGCCTGGCCTGGCCCGGCCCACTAGAACAAATAGGAGATAAGACGACAGTTAAAAACTGTCGTCAAATGATACAACGACGGTTTAAAAACTGTCGTTGTATCTAGAGTCGTTAAATGTCTAAGAGATACGACGACGGTTTTTAACTGTCGTCTAATATGCGCGTGAAACATCACAAGAATTTAAAAAGGCACATTAGACGACGATTTTTTTGAAAAACTGTCGTTAAAAGTATTAAAAAATTAAAATATATATATTTATGCCGAGAACTAATTCTTTGTACAAAAAAATTATTTCTTGGAATGTGTCACAAGTCATTGAACAACATACATGAAAAAATTCAAAACAACATGTTACAAATTCACCTTCTCATATATAATCAATATATATATATATAACACAAATATTTCAAAACCAAAAGTCCCTACGAAATCTAACATTTATTTAAAGAAAACTCTAAATTTTAAAAAAAAATAATCTCAAAGAAAAGAAATTTTAAACGATTAACAAAGTATCGATTTCGATGGTCATGGTGTAGTGGCGGATATGGAGGTGAGGTCATGACGGCCGGTGACGTATGAGCATGATTGTGAGGCTCTTGGAGGCAGCAGCTAAGTTGAGGGAGTGAGGAGTACGTATAGTAATGAGAGTGAGGACTGTAGAAGAGATGAGATTTGAGAGGAAAAAAAATTGAAGTGTTGAGAGGAGAGTTAGAGAGAGAGTCAGGGTGTGAGGAAGAGAGAGAGAGTTTTGGAGAGATGGAGTGATTTGAGATAACAAACTTCGAGTTTGTAAGAGAATGCTTGAAGTTATAGATGAGATATCAAAGCATTAAAATTTTTTTGAAAAAAATGAACGGAAAAAAGTCCGCCTTTTTTAAAAAAATTTTTTGACATTAGACGACGATTTTTAACCGTTATCTAGTGCGCGCGTAAAGATTTTTTGTGTTCATATTCATTTTTTTAGCCCATTAGACGACGATTTTCTAAAAAACGTCGTTAAATAGGCGTTGTCTAATTTTCTATGTGTTGTAGTGGCTTGGCCCAAAATTCTCATTCAGACTGTCAGGCCTGGGCCAGGCGGTCTGAACTTTTAGCTCTACTTGATATGTCAAAAATTACATAGTTAACTTGAATGTAGAGTTAAAAATTTAGACTGCCTGATCCGAGCCCACCAGCCTAAAGACGATATTCAGGCTAATCGGTTATTTTGTTTGGGTTGGGCTGGCCTAGACTTTTATATTAAAAACTTTAAATACAATAAAAACACTTCAGGTCTGCCTGAAAATAGTTTTGAGCTTAAAGTATGTACCCTGTTTAACAATGATGGGTTCTCGACCGGTCCGTTTGGTCCGACTCAAACTTGTTGCTCTACTTGAATGCTTGTTTTTTTTTTCTTCTATTTCTTTTCTTTCTATTTCCATTTTTCTTTTCCTTTCTCATTACTATCAATTACGAATTAGTAAACGCGCTCTTAAACTTATATTGGAAACGCAGGAACTGAAGCTCTATTTGCAGACGTGGGACACTTCACTGTTAGGTCTATTCAAATAAGCATGTGCTCTGTAACATACCCAGCTCTCATAATGGCATACACAGGACAAGCCTCTTTTCTTCGCAAAAACAAAGAACTCGTTGGTGATACTTTCTACAAGTCTATTCCACACCATTTGTATTGGCCAATGTTTGTGGTGGCCGTAGCGGCGGCGATCATAGCTAGTAAAGCCATGATTTCCGGGACCTTTTCTATAATCCAACAATCACTCTCATTGGGGTGTTTCCCTCGTGTTAAGATCGTTCACACTTCGACCAAGTATGAGGGACAGGTTTATGTTCCTGAAGCCAACTACCTTCTTATGCTAGCTTGTGTTGCAGTCACTTTGGGATTCAGAAGCACCACCAAAATTGGAAACGCCTATGGTAATAAATAATGATACTACTTTGTTTTCATTTTCTTGTATAGTATGTCTTTAGCTCGTGATGAGACTCATTTACTGCAAAGTATATAAAAGTACACTATCTTTAACTAAATATTTATATATTTAAAATGAACAATGTTAAAAAATACTAGTGCCGTTGAACATCACATAATAGTAGAAAGTGGATCTCACAATATGAGCCCCACAAACAAAACACACCTATTAATTGTGGTATTTAACACCTATGGTGTCCTAAGTTTTTTTTTTTCTCTTTTAATTTACATGTTTATATGAAGCACACAAATTATTATATAAATACTCTAAAAAAACACTAGTATTTGATGAGTTAAAAATTAGTAGTGATATATGGCTGGTGTTATTTAGTATTTACGTTGAACTGTGCAAGTTGATATAAAGTGAATTTTTTCATTTGATTAAAACTTAACTTATTAGGCAGTGAGTTATAGCACATATTGCATGCTTCTTTTTCATATATGGTGTATAGTATAACTTGTAACTAATTCACTCTCGTTAATTTACACAGGTATAGCAGTGGTGTTTGTGATGACGCTTACGTCGTCGTTTCTAGTACTAATAATGGTAATGATATGGAAGACCAACATACTTCTGGTAATCACCTACGTTGTTATCATTGGCTCAGTGGAGCTTCTTTATCTGAGCTCAGTTCTCTACAAGTTCGACCAAGGAGGATACCTTCCTCTTGCCTTCGCCGGCCTGCTAATGGCCGTGATGTTCGTTTGGAACGACGTCTACCGCCGCAAGTACTTTTACGAGCTCGAGCACAAAATATCCCCGGAGAGAGTCAAGGAGATTACCAACGACGGAAACTTCTGCCGGTTACCGGGCCTCGCGATGTTCTACTCCGAGCTTGTTCAGGGAATTCCCCCCATCTTCAAGCATTACGCGGCCAATGTTCCTGCTTTGCACTCGGTACTCGTCTTCGTCTCCATCAAATCCTTGCCCATAAGCAAGGTCCCGCCAGAGGAGCGGTTCCTCTTCCGCCGAGTGGAGCCTAATGACCTTCATGTCTTTCGTTGCGTTGCGAGGTATGGTTACACCGACGTTCGCAACGAGAGCGAACCGTTTGAGAAGATGTTGGTTGAGAAGTTGAAGGATTTTATCAAGGATGACTTTTGGCTATTCCACATTGACCCGACACGTAGTATTACTAATGGAGAGCCTGTTGATGCTGAGAATGATGTTGGGGAAATGAAAAACGGGGTGACCACTCATGATGAGGTGAATGTTGTCGAGAATGCGAATTCGAAGCGGGTCGAAGAAGAGAAGCGACATGAGATGTTGGATAGAGAGATTGAGGCACTTGATAGGGCTTGGAGAGCTGGGGTTGTGCACTTGATAGGTGAGAACGAAGTGGTGGCATCTAAAGGATCTGGGATAGCTAAGAGGATCATGATCGATTATGCTTACAATTTCTTGAAGAAGAATTTGAGGCAGACTGATAAGGTGTTTGATATTCCTCACAAGCGATTGCTTAAGGTGGGCATGACTTATGAGCTTTAGAGCATCAACTTTCTTTCATCCAACAATGACTTGAGTCTCGAGAGCTATATATATAGATATATACATACATATATATATATATGGAAAATGTGGTAAGCTTAGGCTTGAGAGTGTTAAAGCAATGTTGGTGATAATAATTGCTTGTTTATAGTTGTTTAGATATGAAGCTGTACGTATAGAGTATATCATCTCACCAAGCTGATTAATAAATTTCAGCACAAACATATAATCACGTTGAAAAAAGTAAACAAAGACTTTTATAACTTCTTATAGAGCAAAAATGTTTGATTCAGTCTTCATGTTTTTATGTCTTTCTTCTGTCTTCTCTTCTTTCACGCATGATGAAAGATTGATCAATATTTCATAACTTGAATTTAAAATCCATGTATGGTCAATATACTGCGTGGCGCTGATTTTGTGATCAAATTTTTGCCAATAATTAATACAGAGTGCATTACGAAATCTCTCACTTTCTTAAATGCAGTGAAATTTATGAACACAAGAGCTACAATTGAAAAAGGATTCAAGAAAGTCAACTTCCATTTTGTTATGAAATGTGTTGTACTAGCCCCATGGATTATATTTGCACCCTCATTTTGTTACAACACTAATGCACCCTATTTTTTTTAGGTATATAAGTTAATTATTTTATAGTATATGTAATTTTTTTAGGTATATAAGTTAATTATTTTATACCATATGTAATTTTCTTAAATGTATACCATACGTAATTTTGTACCATATAAGTTAATTATTTTTTATACCATCTGCTTTCATTGTTTGACACATTTAAGTAATAATATATCATATTAGTAAAGTCTACATATTAAACAGTGATTATAATTTTACCCCTTACTTATAATTAATATCCTTTTGACTAATATAATATTTGATTAAAAATGCATTAATCAATAGTAAGGGGTAAAAATCAAAACACATACAATCTAAAAGTTATTTGTCTCCTTTTCCCTTTAACAAGAAGAGATTTTTACAATTATCCCTCAAAATGGATCACCTAATTATTATTAACCCCCAAACATTTGCCCTTTTATTTCTACCCCTTTAGACTAAACCCAATCAAAGGCCCAATATATATAGATTACTAAAATACCTTAAAGGTATACTGACAATTTACAAGATATTAGCTGCCTTCGATCCCCGGCCTGTTGGCGGGTCTCCTGCGGTCGTCCAGTACTCGAAAATTTTTTTAATTCTTTATTTTTAGTTTTTTTTTTTATTACTTTCTTTGAGCTTCTTGCCCTCATACTTTATCTTTTTCATTTTGTCTTTAAGATTTTATATTCATATTTTATATGCCTTTAATGAAAAATTTTATTTTAGTACCATGTATTGTATCGAAATATGAGTTTAATATTTATGTTTTAGAAAATTTCATGCAGGTATCTCGATGTTTTAGAAAATCTTTTTTAGTACCCTGAAATTGTTTTTTGGGATGTGAAATGATATTTTTACTCTTGTACTTAATTTGTCGAGAATTTTTTCTCAAACATATTAAAAATATGTTAAAAACATAATAAAATATAGAAAGCAAAAGAACCGTTTGTTTTTTTAGTTTACTCTTTTTTATAGTATATTAATCTTTAAAAATTTATTATTTTTTATTAATTAATGAGAAGAGTAAAAATGTCATTTCAAATCGTAAAAAACAACTTGAGGGAAAAATATTTTTTAAAACACCGTGATACCCTATAAAATTTTTAAAAACACAAGATATTAAACTCATATTTCGATATAACACAGAGTATTAAAATGAAATTTTTTCAAAAATTAAAATTTGAACATATTGAGGTGCCCTAATAAGAGAGATGAAAGAGAGAGAGAACGACGGAGGAGCAGAGAAAAGATAGTGAGAGAAATGGGAGGCATGAGGAGTAAGCAATAGGATTAATTTTTTTTTTATTGAGTTTCCTTGCCCATCATATCCTTTTGTTGCCAACCGTATCCAACGGCTTACAACCATCAATCAAGTTATTGTGAGCCGTTGGATACGGTTGGGAACAAAAGGATATGATGGGCAGGAGAACTTAATATAAAAAATTAAATTAAATTAAAAAAAATAATCGTATTACTTACTCCTCACACCTCCCGTTTCTCTCTTTCTTCCATCTCTCTTTCTCGAATGAAATGTAGAGATGTCAACCATACCGTGTCGTGTCGGTCTAATCCATGATCGGTTAGGCCCATACGTACTTCGTGTCGTGCTCGACCCATGGCCCAAGCCCACATGTGCTCATGCCCGTGCAATGCTCGTGCCTTTATCGTACTTGGCACAATAAATCTTTAAACTGATCTATTGACCCATTAAATCATCTAAAATTCTTTTTTTAACAGTTTCAAATAAAAAATAATTCAAATAAAAATATAATTCCATATGCTATTACTAAAGGAAAAAAAAAAAGCAAAAGCAATAAACATAACCATTGTAATTTGCAATAAACATAACCATTACCAACGACTATAATTTAGTAAGGAATGGTATATTAATTTATTAATACATCAAGGGTATATTTTATCAAGATATGATATTATTAATGAAATATAATAATTTTGTTATTGTTGCCATCGTTAAAATGATGAAAATTAATGCAAATAATTTGATTTTTAGGGTAAAAAATGAATTAAATTTAATTTGTTTATGCAGATATATAATTTTTTAAATTATTTAAAAATATGTAAATTGTAACAATAACATAAAAATATTTAAAAAGAAAAAGAAAAAATTATATTCGTCGTGTCGGCCCATCGCACTCGATGGGCCGTGCCATGTGCTTGTCGTGCTTGTGCTTATCATCATGTTGTGTCGTGTCGTGCTAGACCCACGTGCTTAAAACTATGAGCCCAGCATAGCCCACCACCTCGTATTATGCTTAGTACGATCTTTAAAAATCTCGTGTCATGTCGTGCCCAGCCTAAAATTTTGCGTGTTGTGCCATCGTGCTGATGGACAGCCTGACCTAATTGACATCTCTAATAAGATGGTTGTTCATTTAGTGTCATTACCCTTAATTTTTGTCGTTAATTATATAAAGGGAAATTTTATTTATATTCAAATTTTAATTTTCTTTTTAATATCAAAGTATCTTCTAATTCCACAATTATCCTTGTGTACACCCCATGCTAAAACCATTTTCTTGAAAGATTTTATTTTCCTTTTCTTGGCCAAATTTCCATTTGAATTATTATCATTATTCTTTTTTGCTCAATTTGATTCTGACTTGAAATCAGATTTTCTATATTTATTCCTTCAAAATGGTTCTTTTGAAATGAGAATTTCAAGAAATGCATGATGTGTTTAGTTACCGAGAAAGTGAGATGGTTTTCCTGGCGTTTGGTTGTATCAACTGGTTTTCATACGTTTATGATGGTCATTCGATTGATAAACTTAATTTCTTCTATAATTTAATTGAGAATCAAATCCAAGTGAGAAGTTTATACGAATGTCAAAAGAAAAAGTTATTCAAATGAACGTCAATATATGTTCTACTCCTATCGCACTCAATTTTCTACGCTATTGCTGTGAATTGATGAGAATTTTCTTAGTAATTGGAATTGAGATCTATTTATTAGCAAAAAAGAAAAAGTCATTCAAATGAAAACTTAGCCGAAAAGAAAAGGAAAGTAAAACCTTTTCAATAAAATAGTTTAGGGGTGTGTATAAGGGTAATTGTATAATCATATGATATTTATGTTGGTTCCCGAATCGAATTCGGGTGCGGAAGCGTGGGGAAAGGCGGATCGTGTATAACAAAAATTTTCATAAAACTTTTGAGATACTCTATAGATTATATTAATTTATGCACGAATAAATTAATCGCATTAATTTACATTAAGAATTCAATCCGGAAAAAATACCTGAAAGCTGACTCGGATGATAACTTGAATTCTTTGACCACGAACAGTCCTTGCTCTAATCTTTGTGTTTATAATACCAAGTCTTCCACGTCAATTCCTTAATTCTACGTAGACGTGTGTGTGGGCACACGTGAGACAAAACAGGTTTCTTAAACACTCAAATTTTCACAAACACCAACGCATGCACGATGTGGAATTTTTTTTTGGGGAAAAATATTTTCTATCTCTTTTGCTATTAAGAAATTCGGCCACCAACTTTTAGGGCTGAATAATTGTTTCAAAAATTGTCTCCACAATTTTCTATCATTCTCATATTTAAAGAGTAGAAGTCAAACTTCAAAACAGGATCAAATCCTTATCTCTAATTTTGAATTTCAGAACAAAAATCCCTTCCCCTTATCTCTAAGGTGGCCAGCCATATTAGGGTTTCCTAACCCTGTGTGTGGCGCCAATTCAGATAGGGAAGGAAGAGAAAAATCATCCTTTATCCTGTAGTCCAATTTTGATTCAGATTCAAATTCAAATTTAAGTCGAACTTAAATTAATGTGAATTCTAAATTGAACAACTTATCAAATAAGTTTAAATGGATAAATCTAGATGTATTCAAATTCAAATTTAAATAATCACATTATTCAAATAATAATTAATTCTCAATTAATTATTTTCGAGTATTTAATTTATAGAATTCCTTAATTCTAAAATTTCCCATTTTACCCTCTGTGTCTGGTAGAATTACTAGGACGACGCGAGGACTAATGGACCTATAATCCCGAGCTCCAATAAAATTAATAATTAATTAAACACTTTAATTAATTAATTAATTCTTTGATTCTCTAATGGATAGTGGTTCATAAAACACATTCATGAACTAGAGCGCTCTTACTAATCCAAGTACCGAATCAACACTCAAGAGAATTATTTATCTGCTTCTTTCTTAAGAAGGAATGGATTCCATCTCGTATAATAACATTCCCAGCTACCTATTTCATTATGTCTCCAAAATACAAGGAATAGGATTCAGGGTCTCGGAATCCGTACCGAGTAAATCAAAAGACATAAATCCATAAATAGGAGTTTGTTAAAAACTCAGGATTAAGATCATCCTATATATGACCATCGGTAGACTCAATTAGAATTTCAATGCTTAACGGAAATTATTAAAAATTCATATTGTATTTGTGTCCTTGTTCCACGTAATCTTATTATGCGAAATACTCATTCAATATCTCGCCATATTAACAGTGTGGATAACACCGTTCCATTCTAAATGGGAATGACATGTATTAATAATGTTTTAATTAAAGATTCTGAATTTTAATTAAATTCATCATGAACAATGTTTTTTATTATTATCCTTAAACACTATCCTCTCGTATATAACACTTATATACCATGTTTAAGGTTACATAAACATTCACGAAATTTTTATTTGATATTCATAAAATATTCATAAATATATGCACATAAAATGATGAATAAACTCTTTTATTAATTAAATAATAAATATCATATTACATCTCATGCTTCTAGGACACTATTCTCAACAATTTAGATATTAAAAAGAAAATAATTTTAAAATTTAAATATATTGGGGTGCCTTAATAAAAATTTAGGGTGTAAATAAAATTTCACTTAATAAGATGTTTTAGAAAAACAGCATTCAAATAGATTTGATAAATGTAGATTTTTTTTTTTAGCTAAATTGATAAATGTAGAACTTGGGTCCAAAAGTTATTAACAACCTTAAAAAGGAACCACATAATTTCCCAATTGGGCATTATGAAATGGAGCCTTGAATTCATCTGCTAGGGGAATAGCACAAAGCTCCTCATTTTGCCAGCCATAAGCATTTTTTCCCTGTTCCAACTTGGTTAGCTACTCCTTTTTCCCCTTATACTTGCAGTATCTTTGGTAAACATGGAAGATGTTCGAATTGCTTGAAGGAATAACAGTAATATTCGAATTTGTTGCACCCAAAGACAACGAGAGAGGAGTAAATTTACTCCATGTACTCGAAAACAAGATAATAGCAAAAAGCATCATTAGGCGCCTATAAACTCAAGGCAAATAGAGAATAAGCATTCCTATAAATTTCTCTGAGAATTGGAGATGAGATTCGAGTGCACAAAAATGGGTTTCAGTTGAATTGCACTAAAATTTACTTCTGTTTCAAAATCCTAGGAATAGTAAACCAAGCTGCACAAACATTTACAGCAAATCTATTGCTCAGAGGAATCTGCAAAGCCAATCCCGAACTCCAGACGTCCATTTGTTGGATCATGCCAAGTATCTAAACGTGTTTGCATTATCCTTGTCTCTCTCAAGGTAGTCTCGAGTGAGGAGATCTTCAATCCGCTTCTTGATTGCTTTGATATCAGGCTGAATATTCCACATAGAGAATAAAATAAGCAATCGAATGCAAAATAAAATAAAAAATAAAATTATCTCAACTTCTATAAAAACTCTAGACTTTGTCATACTTGTTAAATTATTATCCCTTAGATCAATAATATTTGGCCTCTCTTTTCTAATACCAAAACTACCACATGTCGGTTTAAAGACCAACACATTCATAAAAGAATGTGAAATGGAAACAAAATTCTGAGCACATCTACCCATGGATTTACACACTTTTAAGTTGAATGGCAAAAGAGAGAATATGCAAATACCTTAAACATACGGCCTAACTGCTCAACACACTCCAAAACCAACTGCTGATGACCCAAAACCTTCCGACTCTTCATGATTCGCACTATTGCAGCATCAATGGCGTATCGCCTGTCTTTGTCAACATCTTCAATTACCTTCTTCCTTTCATCCACTGGCGGGAGGGGAATCTTAGGATGAACAATTTCATATAGTTAACATCTTTCTTCAATAAACAAAAACACGAGGAAAAGAAGAAAAGCAATATAGCTATTGAAAAAAAGAAAAAAGAAGAAAAAAAAAAGGTACTTTAGAAACATCTAATACCTTAATCCTCCTCATTCTGTCAGTGAACTTCGAGTTGAACTCAAAAACATCATTTTGCGAGATAGACTTGGTATTTGGCTCCTTATTGAGAATCTTATACTTTGCACATGACAGGGAGTGGAGTAATCTAACCAAGTCATCATGGGTTACATTTAACTGCGTCATTATCTCAGAATAGCTTAATCTATCAGCAGTATTGAACAGCAGAAGGGCAGCAGCCTGGAATTTTTCATCACCCCGGATTAGAAGAGTTCAACAATATGCTCTCAACCTCCATAAGACAATGTAAAAATAAATTACTGTACCTGATAGGTTGATACAACCAGTTCAATGGTTTTAGCCTCAAATTTGCCACTTATATTGCAAGTACCCAAAGAGTAAATCCATGTAAGCTTTCTATGTTTCGTTTTCAATGCATAGAATTCCTTGAAGACTTCAACACATTTCACCTGAAAAATAAATAAATAAATAAACATCCAACAATACAAGCTGGGGAAGGCTCTTATTTTTCATAAGGTAAGAGCCGCACAAACATTCCAACTAGTACTAGAAAAGAAACTGCTACCATCTCTGCAGGAAGGTTTAGGTCAAAAGACTTGTAACTTGGCCAGAATCCCGTAGTAAGAACAGTCACGGTCAGATCAATCCCAGGAGTTACATGTGTGTTATTACGAAGATATTCCTCAAAATTGTTCTGATTGTCCCGTGCTAATGTCAAATCGGTGACCTACAAAAAAAATGGAAATAATATTACTCTCAACTTACGCCACAAACATACAAAAGAATAAGAAATATAGGCCACGAAAACCAGGGTAGGCGTACCATTCCCTCCATTTTCGAGGTAAACTGACCACCACATTGTTGTTTAAGCTTTGTTAAAATACATCTTTCGTGTTCCTCACTAGCACTCCTATCAAAAAGGAGCCGGCGAGCAAGCTTTTTCCTACATATGTCAAATAATTGTTGGAATCCAAAAAAAAAACATAAAAACAAAAAAACAAAAACAAAACAAAAATACAAAAATTACTCCATAATCATTGTAAAGAGTGAAAAAGAAAAGAAAAACATATAGATACCTAATTATAAATTACCTGTAGAATTCTGCGAAAAGGTCTTTGTCACTAATATATGCAAGTAGTTTAACTACCTGAGAATTCGATAAGAAAAACTTATTGTTAATCTAAAACATAAGAAAAATATGACACAAGTACTATAATAAAATCAGGATACCTTCTCAAGAGTTTCTTCTATGGCCTCATCACTCAATTTCTCACTCCCACCCTTCTTGAGAATATTATCACAAAACGCAGCAAGTAGTTCAGCACTTGAAGTGCCAGCAACAGTTTTATTGCAGAATACCTCAAAAGCCTCTTTGAGAGCCTATTTGACAACAAAAGAAGTATGATTTGTACAAGAAGATGATGGAAATTTACGAGGGCAAAAATAAGTGTTAATAGTTCTAATGCTAACCTTGTGAAACAAAGTATGGTTTTGAAAACAGTCATTCACATATGTCATGTACTTGTCATGCAGCTCAATTATTTTTCTGACAAGGACCTGAAAATCACAAATTCAAGTCAATCTACAAACCATTCAACCAGAGTCCACACCTTAATGAACAACCACATAAGCATAAAATCTTTACCTGTTCCTGTGTGCCAGCCCCATTTGCCTACAAAAGCATGTTGTCTACAGTTATCAGCACGATCAAATTTATGAATCAAATATTAAAAAAAGAAAAGCTTTTGCTTACAGCCTTTGCTAAGCTAGCCAGCACAATACATAAACAAACAGAAATATCTCGAAATTGTAGTACAAAATAGTCCACCAAGAAACGAAGAGAAAAAACTTATGTCACATTGCTACTACACCACTACACTACATAAAACTTAGTTTGATAAATATTTTCATAAAACTTCAAAAACAAGAGCACAAAACTCCATCATAAACAAATCTTAATAAATTCAAATGGAAAACAACTCATCATCTCATATACAATTTCACTCTCCTGATAAGCTACAAGAACTCTGATGCCATGTATTAATCAATATCAACAAAATTTTTGTTCAGCGGAAGTGTCCACGTAAAATCCAAGATGTAAAATGAAAAGGCAAGCATCAACTATAACATTGTAGCGTATAGTATATATGATGCAAATTGCAATACAACTATGCGAAATCACAAAAGGAAAAGTCAGGCATAAAAAGTTTCTAAGAGTGAAAAACACAACTACAAGCACAGCAGAACGTATAGTTATAGGTCGAGATACCATACCTGGTTAGTGCAAGCATCTTCAGCCTGTTGGACTAATACTGTGCCTTCACCGGTAATGTGCTGCCAAAAAAAAAAAAGAAGTCATCATAAGTATGACTACCTAATTGGACAAAGGAGCAGCTCAAAGAGGCTCCTTAAGGTCGAAAACATATTCTAAGTAACAACGCAGCTGACCTGTTTGAATACATTGGCGACAGGATCAAGGCCTCGTGGTATTTTATGGTAAAGTCTATACATCCTAGAAAGATCTTCCACCTAAAATGACATTAACAAGTAGCATAGCATCATAAGCATGTTATGTGATAGAACCATGACAAGACCTCTTTTAAAAAAAATTGAAGTACCTTATCATCTCGAAGCAAAGCACGACATCCAGAATGTTCCTTCTCAAGCAATTGCGTTGCATAGACCACCAATAACTCATGTTGCACTTTCTATTAGAAAAATGCAGTAACAAAGAACATGAAATTTATGTCTCTTGAAGACAATGAAAGTATGAAAGTAAACTGCAACAAAATATGCAAGTATCTCAAGTGAAAACTTGTTATGGCTAAACCTACAAATTCTATCTTTTAACGAGACGAAAAAGCATCCATATATAAAGTTTGGGTAGTATTGTTATTAATCATGTTACCAATTCACTAACCAACTTTCTCTAGGGTATGATGGGCATCCAGAATAACTTCTTACTCGTAATTTCTAACATAAATTGAGAGCATCTACCAGCCTCCTCACAACAAAACATGGGTAATATGTAACTAACCTCCACTAACTTCTGCTCACTGCTTGAGTGTAGGTAATGAGAAACTCTATCCCTCTCTCTTTTCAAGCATTCCTCAGCCTAAAAACCATAATAGAGATATTATCGTCATCCAACCTTAGCCAAAGAAATTAAAAAAATATATATACGAAATGCAAAAGCATAACTTAGAAGTTAAATAAATAAAAACATATTGCCTTCAACATGTAATCAGGACAAGAATCCTCCAAAATCCAGTTTGATGCTTTGCGAGAATAATATGCACCAGTATCTTCAAGCATCAGTGCCTCAAAGTCCTCTACATAAGAATCCATTTGTCCCATACCAATTTCAACAAATATATCAATAACATTCTTCAACAGTGCTCTGTCAATCTGCTCTCCCTCGCGTTCTTTATCGATCTGATATACAATAACCAGTCATTAAATACTTGGTGGATAAGATATAGATCCAAGTAAGATTCCAATAGCAAACATACCAAAACAATGACAGCATCTCTGGCCTTTGCATTGACCTCCCGATAAACCTGAGATTACATAACTAAATACTTACAAAGTGGTAATTTGGTAATTTGATAGCCTATAAATGCACATAAATATACAATACCATAAGTACGACTAGTAACTACTAACCAGGTCCCTAAAGCAGGTGAGTCCAACTTCATTTAGAGGAGGAAGCGACCGTCTAGCAATAAAATAGCGATCAAGATAAAAGAAGAAACGCGAAAGCCATCTGACCATAACCTTATGATTTGCCCATCTTTTCACAAGTTCTCTCAGCATAAACTCATCATGCTTCTCCCTAAGGGAAGGCATTACCTAGACAAAGTAAACGAAATAGGAAACAAATGCTTCCATGAGTGAGTTAAATTTTATAAAATTTATACGAGGGAAGGGGAAAGTAATGTAGGTATTGAGATACAAACTTTTTATAACTAAGAGACTTTTAATCGACCAGACAACAACCAACCAATAACATATGCAAAGAGCCAATATATGATAATAAACCGCAGCAAGTGAAAACGAAAAGGCAGCATCTCGTAAATTTATGTTTTAAGGTTCATATTTAACACAAGTCATGACACCTAAAATGAGTCTTACACAAAACAAAGCAATCACAACAACAAACATGGCTACAAATTCCAAGCAAGTTCTTCCAACACTCCTTTGGAGGATTGCATTTAACACAAGTCATGACACCCAAAAACCGAGTCTTCTACAAAGCAAAGCAATCACAGCAACAACCATGGCAAAAAATTCCAAGCAAGTTAAACCAACACTCCTTGTCATGTGGGTAAATAAAAACGATGTTGTCCAATCCTCACCGTTGAAGTGATATATTCTTCAAACACCTCACGATATTTGTCATAAAGCTGCTGAGAATAGTCATGAGGGGGTTTTTGCGTACACATGTTATAGATGGTACTGAACTTGGAATTAAAGAAAGATCATCATGGGTGAACAACATTCTTGTTCAAAATCAATGAGTACATACATACTATAATATACATACATATATATATATATATATATATATATTCATACAAGCAGAAAACGCATAAGAAAGGATACGTGTAGAGCATCATATATTCCTCTCCAGTGAAAGGGGGTTCGGGCAATTCTTCTAGAATCCTCTTCAGCTTTGTGATCCCTCTCTGCATATAAGCCCATCCTTCTTCCAATTCAATGACTCTACGATCCATTCTCTGTCCATACAGAAAGCAACAGGGGTTACAATCTTTAACTAATTTAAGACAGTTCATGGCCATTGGTCTCCATTGAAGCAAAAAAAAAAAAAAAAAAAAGTCCTTCACTCATGGCAAGTTACTCTAGTTATCAACAATTATCGAAACAAAGATGAAAAGATTAAGAACTTACTCAATAATTTGTATTAAAAAAAAGAATACAGAATAAAATAAAACCCTAAGCGAATCTCGAAAAAAAAACGAAAAATAAGCGACAAGAATGACGAGAAGCCCCAGAAAAGAGCGATTTTACGAAACGCCTTTGCTTATCTAGGGATTATTCACAAGCTGAAGAACAATGCAAGACCCTAGAAATTGAATTAACAAAAATAAAATCCATATATCGAGAAATAATTCGCACAAAAAAAATTTGAAATTCATGAAAAAGAAAACAATTATTCGAAAATCGCGAGCATACCAGGGAAAGAAGCAAGAACAATGCGAATCAGGAAAGAGACGAAAGGAATCGATCGATTGGGGTCAAAGGCGAAACGTTTCGGAAATTCTGGAAACCAAGGAATGGAAACGGAAAGAATCGCAGAGACAGATTGATTAAATTGATCGGCGATAGCTTGGCTTTCGGAAGAAAAGAAAAGCAGACGATGAAGGAAAGCGGATTCCCGGACCTGGAAATCGCGGGACACCAGAATAGGGAAGGCAACAAATGAGGTTGGGAATTGTATTTATGAATGTCTATTGTCTTTCGTTTAAGAAAAATTCTTTTATATTTTATGGGTCGTTTAGAATTAATTTTTAAATGATTTTATTTTTAATAAAAAATGAAAATGAAATTATTTTGAGAATCATTTGGGAATTGGGATTAATTTTAAAATTATGTTTAGTTGATTTTTTAAGAAATTACTTTGAGTATAATAAAAAAGTAAAATCGTATTTATTAATTAATATATTATAATATTATTGATAAGTGCTAAAAATGAAAACAAAAAAGTAAAAATAACTTTCAACTGTTTTTTAATTTCTTCACAAAAATTATTTTCACTGTTTTTGTTTTCGTTTTCAAAATATTTACTAAACAAATATCGTTTAATTTTCATTTTTTACTTCTCGAAATACATAAAAATTGTTTTAAAAAATGGTTACAAACAAGCACTATATTTTTGGCCTTTTGTTTATGAATAAATTAGAATTTTTCTTTGCGTGGAAAGTAAATAAATTGCTCGTTTGCTTCGCTGATTTGAGTTTTTAATTCGAGTTGAGATGTGATTTTATATGAGAGTTTTTTACTGTAGTAAAAAAGTTAGATGTGACTATTTCTGAGAGCTTTTTATTATAGTAAAACTCGAATCGGTGAAATAAATTGGGCCAAAAATTTTTCTTATTCCTGTTTTAATGAAAATATTTCTTTTTTTATGAATAAAAAAACGTAACATGAATTTGATAAATCCACTGTGGAACCATTTTCTAAGGAAAATTCATTATGTAAAGAGTTTTTTAAAAAATAAAATAAAAAAAGAAGAAGAAGAAGAAGAAGAAACTTCCCAATATAATATATATTTTTTCTTAAGAAGAAAAAGAAGGTAGAAAAAATTTTATTTGTTTACGAGGCGTTACAGTTTCGGCATGGCAAATAGGGTCTGTTTTATTATTAGTTTATTAATTTTCTTTGGACTTTTTTCTTTTCTCTCCTTTTTTATTAACTTTTGCTTCTTTTTTTTTCACGGATTGAAATGATTGAACTGAAAAGTCTGCTGATTTGAACGGGTTTTAGATATACAAATAAATTATAATTCAAATTGAGAATAAATTTAAATTGTATTTAAATTGAATGCTGAATACTATTATTAGAATTTTACAACAAATTTTATCAAATCTTGTTATAATGTGTAATATAGGTGAGAATTTGTTTTTATCTTCATTTTGAACACATAAAAATATAAATTATCTCAATCGAAGTTGATATGAAAAAGTTATAATATTTATAAGCTTGAGTTGACGAGAGAAAAAACAAAAAACAACTTTGTAATCATAAAGGTATAATTTGTTACAATTTAGATATTATTTGAATTGAATCTTAGGTTTGAAACATGGGCATAAATTTTTCTTCTTCCCTTTTTTGTTTTTATTTAAAGTAAGGGACTTCTTTCGGTATATCGGTTTACTGGTAGTTTCAGTTTCTGACCGTTAGATCGATTTAAAATCACAAAAGATTAAAAAAATATGCAAAATAGATAAATTTTGATACATATTTAACGGTTGAAAAATAAAAGATTGCCGATAATCTATTTTTTCAAAGACTATCAAAGAAACTCCCATAAATTAATACAAATACAAACTTTTGGATTAGCAAAAAGAATGCCTCGTTTTTCTTGTTATTATATTTTGTAAAGTCTATTACTAAAAAAATCAAGACTCGTTATACATTCTTTTTCTACATACCATAGGCTCCACCACGAAAAATTTCAACCCAACCTTACAAATTTGCAGCTAAACAAATCAAATTTACAATTTTGTTCGTCTTCTATTCTTGCATTATATTATTAAAAAATGAGATTTATATGATAGGACCCACAAAATGAGTAACTAGTAAGTTTTTACTTCAGTCAATAGATCCATATCAAGAAAAACTTTTGTTTTGCATAATTTTTTATTTTAATATGATTTTTACCGAAAATTCGTAAACAGAATAATAACGAATTTTTTAATAGTTAACACGAATTAAATGATCTAAAATATAATTAAAAAACAATTAAACAACAAGATCACACAAAAATTATAGTGGTTCACCCTTAATTCGAAAGTTATGTTTACTGTGAGGAGGAGAGAAAATTCACTAACTTTAAGGAGAATACACGCACTAATTGCTCAAGGTGAGACTTGAGATTTTCTGACTCATAATCCCTTATTTATAGCTTAAGTCGCCTCCTATAAACATTCATTATTTGAATTTGGGTTATTTCTTTTATTTTTTGGGATAGTTTTCTAAAAAAATAAAGATTAAAATGAATCATGACGGTTTTCCTATTTAAATTTAATATATTTGAATTACAAATAGTAAATCTCACGGATCTTATCTTCTTGTGTGGTCTCGACTTCGTAAACGCTTTCAGAAACCTCGTCGCTTACGATTGCAGGTACGGTCGACCTCATACTTATTCTTTATGGCTTCTCAAAACAGTCGACCTCTTACTAATAACATGTACGTCTTTTTAACAGTCGACCTCTTGTGACGTGGCTCTTAAGACTGAGTTGTCATTGACTATTTAATGCCCTTCTTTATAGGTTGCGGACTTCATTTAGGGTCTAAATTTAAAGTTCAGCTTTTTACTCTGCAACACACCATATCCAATAGTAATTAACGTGCACGATTGATAAGCACCTACCATAGAAAGACTCAAAGAAATAGAAAGGTTTATTTCAAAGTATAAAAAGGCAATACAAGCTGATATCCATATGTGTGGAACCTCTTACTATATGAAACACGATATTGACATACAAGCAAATTTCAATGAAACGCTTAAGTGAAATATTATGCGATGGGCTCCGTGAACTGAAGATTACCAAAAAAGATACACCAAAAATTAAGCACACAGATATTTTTTTTGTTTGTTTTCTTTTAACAAAATCCCATATCATTGATGGAAATATTTGATCAACTCATGTCGAAAAAACCCATAAGATAAGGCCATACAAAAAAAAAAAAAAAAAAAATCCTATATTGTCAATGGAAATAAACCCATAGGATAAGGCCATAAACAAAGACCATAGATAAATAAATATAAAGGACTGAGTCTGTTTGGTGCGCAAAATTAAGGAGCATTAGATAGGATTAAATTTTAATACTTTGTTTGGTGCACATTTTTAAATGACTTGATTGGATAAACTTTTATCCGGTATGAAGGTACCGGTTAAGTCTTTTTACATGAGACGTTTAGTTCATGAATTATAATCATTTTTTATTTACGTGTATTTTTTGTGAGAGAAAACACTATAGCGAACCACGAATCATAATTCGAATTAGGGTACGAATCCCCAAACCAAACAACACTTAAGTTTGTTGTTAAATTTGTTGTAACAAATATAAGAAACATGTGAAATAGTAAAAAGACACATGAAAGTTGGAATCACGGTTCAGTAACCACATACATCTACGGGGATCACGCCTAGATGATGCACAATCTAATAAGAACTCAATATTACAACTAAATTGGACTTACACTACCAAAGACTCCTTTTCGTGATAAGACGCTTATGAACTGTAACTTCTTAACGGACTTGCTCAGCGAGCACCACTTATCTTCAAAACTACACGGTGAAATTTTTTCATCTAGCAGGTCGCTCTTTCCCAAAATAATCCGTAGTACACATTCCGTTGCAGATTGTGTTGCAACAGTTAATGCAATAGAGCTGTAAAACTGATCTGAAGGTCAACATGCCTGATTCTTGAAATCTTCCCATATAAAAACACATCAACTTGAACGTATTCTTTTGAAACATCAGTAATTCGTCCAGCCCAACAGAACCTCATCCACAAATCAATTATCCCATCAATTTCCAACGTATCAAAAAAGACCCAAAGTTGACTTTTAACCAAATCAATTATCTTAGAAACAGTTTCCATGAAAACAAAAACTCCCCATTATTAATTCCCTGCAAATCATTCTCTAACCAAATTAAGGCTGCAAATCAATCCCAAAATAATGCCAAGATCTAATTCACCAAAGCTGAAATCATGTCCAAAACAATGCCAACAATCAAGAATCAATCAAATCCGAAAATGGCGATCAAAACTGAAATCCTAACACAGTCCATTATCAAACCCCCTTAGAAATGGATGTTACTATCCCCTGCTGAAGTATAGGATAACTTTTTACTAAAGCACATTTTTATAAACTTTAGGGTCAAATTGTAATTTTTAAAAGTTGAGGGGCCAATTTGAAATTTAATTATTTTAAAAATATTATATTTTTACCCCTCAAGTTTTAAAAATTTACAATTTGATCCAAAATTTTAATTTTTTTTTACAAAAATACTGTTATCCTATTAACATAATGACCTGCTTGGCACGCTGGTCTGGCTAGGATTATGAGACTTTGGATTGGGTTGGATATGATTGGGTAGGGTATGGCTAAATCCAATCTTGTGTTTGGTAACTTACGGACTAGACAGAAATTGAAGACCAAAAGCTTCCTTCCTTCTACGGAGCACACAGAGGGTCTGGATAGGATTATGAGACCATGGTGGCCCGCGAGGCTAGGGGCGGAGATCGGCGAAGTACGGAGGCTGGGTGGTCTTTGGCGATAAAGATCGAAGGTAGGAGGGTGGGGTCGCAGGCGATGGAGATTCGGGAAGGTCGAAGGGTCACCGACGACGAAGATTTGGGGGTATGTCTTGCGATTGGAGTCGCTGGCGTGGAAGTTTGGGGGTTGGGGTGAGCAGTGTTCAATGGCAGCTACGAAGATCTCCACAAGTGGGGGTGGGTCAGAGTGATAACGATGGGTGTGGGCGGGCGAATGGCGGTGGGCGTGCGACGATGGTGACTCCGGCGAGCGACAGCGTCATGCTCAAGCAGGGGTAGCAGATCTGTGTGAGAGAAAGGGTTAAGTTTTGAAAAATATTTCTAATCCTAGTTCTGGACAAATAATCCCACACATTTTAGGGACAAATAATCCAACAAAATTGGGACTATTTCTGGTCAACGGACAAGTAATTCGGCCAATAATTGTCACTAAACATGGGATTTGGACTATTTATGCTAACCTTAGTCCATATCCGATGTACCAAACGAGGCCTAACATCAAACATGGGATTGGATTAAACTAAAATTTAATCCTATATTTTCCTATACATTCCAATCCATTACTCTAAATCTATACTATTCTATCATGCGTATAAAACGAGGTAAAAAATAAAAAAAATACAACTAAACATTAAAAATAAACAAGAGAGACACACAAAATATATAAAATATTATAATTACAAGGAAAAAAAAATTATAGAAAAAGGAGAGCACTTAACATGAGCGGAAGAAATTATCAAAAAAGGTGAGCGGTTGACATACATGAGGTGTTGTTTATGGTGAAGATTGACACACGTACCGTTAGACGACTCACCTCCCTTGCTTATCTAAAGCTCCAAAAGGAAGACAGAGTTGATAAATGACGCGCCAAAAAATGCATCGAGACCCAAATTCATTCTCAACTTTAATCTGAAAGCCTCATTTATAGGTAACACAAACTCTACTTAAATTTAGCATCCGATGATTATCATGTAGATGAAGGCCCCGTTCACTTCACCAATTCGAGTTTAGAATTCAAGTTTTGCTACAGTAAAAAGCTCTCACAAACAATCACATCTAACTTTTTTGTTACAGTAAAAATCTCTCACATAAAATCACATCTCAACTCGAATTACAACTCGAATCAGCGAAGTAAACGGACCCGAAATTAGTGGCCCGAGAAATGGCACTCTCTCTTTTTCGCCCATTCTTTGTTTTGTAGGGTTAGCTTTTTACTCTTTTCTTTGTTTTTGCCACTTTATAAACACTTTCTTTAGAAGTTATTAGCTCTATCAACACAAAATTGAATCAACCAATCAACTTCAAGCTTGGCCTAATTCTCTGACCTACCTCCTTCCATTTTCTCCTCGTATATATTTAGTAGTGTGGAAAAGAGATAGGAAAGAAATTAGAAGGAGATTTTAAAAAATGAAAGAGAATGTAAGGTTATTTGGTGTTTAGTAAATGTGAATTTGAGAAGTAATGAAGTTGTAAACTATAAGACCCACTACTGTTATAGCTTGTACAACTTTAAAAATAGATGAGTCGAGAAAATATTTGATAAAACAATTATGTCAAATAATTATTTTGACTTAATCACACATTGCCTTGTCATTTGTACAAAGATATAAAGTATATTAGACTTTTTTCGTATCTCATACCAAACAAAATAAAAGATTTATGATAAATTATATTCATGCACCATGAAACATCGTTATTTATACATTGCATTCTTCAGAAGAAATGTTAAAGACTCAAATTAAAAGGTCAAATTTGATAAAAAAAAGTAATTAACGTGTCAAATGTTAAGATTTTGGTGAGAAAAGTACTCTTTAACACAATGTTGTTTTGATGCTAAATCTGAAATCTTATATATCAATGATAAGAATGGTTTCCGTACTTAAAAGATAAAAATTTCAAGTTAACATATTAATTTAACGTTGCATTGGACATAATTCATAACAAAATTCTAAAAAAAAAAAAAATTAGTTAAGTGTCTAGATTCTTGGCCATAGTAGACTGGCTTAAGTAGCAAGTACATCAATACGTATGTAACATTATGCAAATTATACAGTGTAAATTAAGACTTTATTTATTTTACTGATTCAAACTTTTAATTTCAAATTTATTATAAACAAAAATTCTTATAAAAGTCACATCTAAGGCGAGTAGAACCACGTGTAAATTAGACTAAAAATTTGTCAAAAAATAAAAAAAGGTGTATTTAAGTTCTAACCCAGCCGTAATTGGCGCGCGTGCCCTCTATTCGCACGTGCGACTCTAGGGCCATACTTACGTGCCCCGCGTCTATCCTGGTAGCAGATTTCCGTGTTCCCCATAGGTTTCCTTTTCAGCTTTTCTTCTTCAACAGAATTGCCAAAACCCTAACCCCCAAATTATGTAAGAGAATCAGAAGATTACACCTTCGTTTCAGGTTTTTATGCGCGTTACGCGTATCCCCTACTGTTCTGAGGTTCGGAAATTGGAGCTTCGAGTTCGGCCATGAAGTTCTTGAAGGAGGATTTCTTGGAGTTGCAGATCGGGAGCTCCGCCGAGTCGCTGCGCAAGTCCCTGGACTCGCAGAGAGAGCTTTTCCACAGCCAGATCGATAAGCTCCAGAGAATCGTCATCACGCAATGCAAACTCACCGGCGTCAATCCGCTATCTCAAGAAATGGTGCGCCTCTATTTATTATTATGATTATTATTTTTTTCCTGTTTGGCTGCCGAGAACAGTAGGAAACAGAGATTAGTTGACGTGCAAAATTTGGTTTAATGTTCGTTTATTGGCTCAATTTAATAGGAGGCTTGTACGAAATCAAATATCAGAATATTTCGGTTTGCATTTTTTCGCTTTTGGGGGGGCGTTCGATTTATTTTACCTTTTGAAGATTCAATGGTTGCTTGATATGTTCAATGCCGAGGTGAACGCCCTAGTGCCGGCCATTAGCGGAATCTCGGATGCATTCTATTGATAATTCTCTTTTCTATTCATTGGATTATCCTTTTTTCTCCTTTAGGAAGTAAGAGCATTATCCAAAATTGCACTTCGCGTCTAAGCAACAAAAGGGAAATGGTTTTGATGTAATGCCCATCAGTGGACGTGAAAATACAGTTCAGTAATTCACATGGACGTAATGCCTGCATTATATAAAGTTGGAATGTAGAAACCCCAAAAATTTGAAAAAGGAATTTCCATTTCCGATCTCTATTTAATGGTGATGGAATGTGGATTCATTGGAAGTAACTCACTATCCCTTTATGCATTACTATTGTCAGGCGATGATATTTTTTTATTTCTTATAATGACAATCGTTCCATTTTTATCATTCACCACATGCGTTGTCAATGACAATTTAGGTAATAAATAACATGTTTTTATTTTTTGTATCTCTGCAGGCAGCTGGTGCACTTTCAATAAAAATCGGTAAGTATCAGTGGTGGAATTTTTATTTATAATCAATATGCCTTCTTCTTTTGCGTGTGTTTCGTCTGACTGTCACTTGTTTGCAGGAAAAAGGCCTAGAGATTTACTAAACCCAAAGGCTGTAAAGTATATGCAATCTGTTTTCTCCATTAAAGATGCGATAAGCAAGAAGGAATCTCACGAGATTAGTGCTCTGTTTGGTGTCACTGTCACACAGGTTTCGTTTTTTATTAACAAACTAATCACGAAGTTCTTATTTTGCACCGTTGTAAAGTTATTTCTCACTTGCTTTGTTTATCTGTAGGTTCGTGAATTTTTTGCTAGTCAACGTTCAAGAGTCAGGAAATTAGTTCGTTTGTCGAGGGAAAAAGCAATAAAATCTAGTGCATGTTCAGAACAGCATAATGAAGTTCCAACAAGCTTTGATCCATTAGTACCTTTTGATCCGGTCCCCTTAAACACTGTTGGCCCCACTAATGTTGAGGAAACACCATCTTGCTCTACCAAAGATGATAGTCTATCTGACTTAGATGACTTAGATAAGCAATTTGTTGAGAGTATTTTCAATTTAATGCGGAAAGAAGAAACATTTTCCGGGCAGGTGAAACTGATGGAGTGGATTTTGCGGATACAAAATTCTGCAGTATTATGTTGGTACTTATCGTCTATCACATCACAATTTAAGATTTTAGGTATGTTGCCTTATTGTCTCACCACCTGATGGTACGCATGCAGGTTCTTAAACAAGGGTGGTATGATGATTTTGGCAACATGGTTGAGTCAAGCAGCCGCTGAAGAACAAACAAGTGTTCTTCTTGTCATCTTAAATGTATGTATGAATCTTGTCTTCTCAAGTGTCTGTACTTTCTTCATGAATATTTCTTACCATTTTTAATGATTAAATACTGTTCAGGTACTTTGCCATTTGCCTCTACATAAAGCTCTTCCTGTGCATATGTCAGCCATACTGCAAAGTGTTAACAGACTGCGATTTTACAGATCTTCAGGTGTGCTTTACTTCCAAAACCCATTTTTTACTCTCTTTATATGTAAGGTTCCTTTTTTCTTCCTTCTCCTATATGGAAATTTATACTCGAAGTGACACTACGGCCATGTTCATTTTACCGATTCGAGTTTTGCTATAGTAAAAAGCTCTCAGAAACAATCACATCTAACTTTTTGCTACAGTAAAAAGCTCTCACATAGAGTCACATCTCAACTCGAATTAAAAACTCGAATCAGCGAACTAAACGGGCCCTACGCATCTTTCTAGGCAGATAACTTATTTTCTTTTCTTTTCTGGCGCTCTAAAGTTTCTTTTGGATAAATAAACAAGCCTGTTTTGCTTCAGCTGTATGTGTGAAAATTTGAATCTCATTTATCTGATTTGAAGATCAGACATATCAAACAGGGCAAGGGTTTTGTTATCCAGTTGGAGCAAGTTATTGGCTAGAAATGAAGCCCTGAAGAAACTGAATGGCGTAAAATCATCTGGTGATGCACAACAAGAATTAATCCTGAAGAACAGGCAAGTTTATATCTTAAATTTCCATAGACACAATTCATAGATCAGCTTTTTTAGCTAATGAAGTCTAATTATGTGCAGTTTAAATGATGTTATTGCTGATGAATCATGGCAGTCAAGTATAGATACTCCTGTAAGTGTTTAAATTTAATTATATTTAACATTGATTTGATGTAGCTACAAGTTGCACAACTTATTGAAGTGTTTCTTCTTGTTGTGCAGGAAAAGTTTCTTGATAATTCAGAGAATTTCAGGTATACAGGTTTTTCATCTGAGATATCTTTAGCTTGGATATGATTGCTTTTGGCAGTTGAGGTTTTAAGAATAAATATTTGGTTGTAGGACATCTGAGACCACACAGGCACTGAAATTGTTGTCGGCATCTTCAGATGATTCAAATAAGAAGCATATTCTAGGCGTATCTTCATCCCGTATCCTTAAGATTGTATTATTTTCTGTCATTTTAGTTGTCTTTAATTGAATTTTAGAATAAAGAGATTATTTCCTTAACTATATTTAACAGAAATTCGAGAACGCAGAAAAGTTCAATTAGTGGAACAACCTGGTCAGAAAACTGCTGGGAGAAGTCCACAGGCTGCAAGAGCAGTGCCATTAAATCAGAGCAGACCAATGTCTGCTGATGATATCCAAAAAGCAAAAATGCGGGCACAATTCATGCAGAGCAAATACAAGAAAGCTAGTTCATCTAATGAAAATAAAGAAGTGAAGACTGAAGGATTTAAACCCTTGGCCTCTCAGCTCAGCGTTTTGCCTTCAGTGTCTAAAGCTCCGCTTCGACCTAGTGTTGAGGAACACAAGAAACCTGCAGCACTTCCCATGAGAGCTCCTAATGTTCTCGAAGCATCTATTGATCCAAAGCCAAGAGTAGATTTGAAGGAGCCATTGTGGGAGAAGTACTGTAGGGTCCAGATCTCTTGGCAGACACCTCCAGGTACATATTCTTTTTTCATAGATTTTCATTGGTACTTTGAATTTTTCGCATGTAGCATTACACAATAGAAATTGTAGCGCTTGACAGAAGAAAATTTACAAAGTTCCCTGGAGTTTTTTAGCTGCGGAGAAGAGTGTTTTTAACATTATTTGTGTATTTATGGAAGGAGATCTGACCAACTGGATGGTGTAACTTCTTTTGCATGAATTGAATGGATCACACACTTATTTTATGTTTGTGTAAGACTTGGATTTTGTCATTCTGATTCTATAGGATACATGTTGTGAAAAGTTTGACACAATATGGCTGTCTTTGTTTCAATTAGATCACCACGCCTAAATGTCATGGCTTTTTTTCTTTATTTTTTTTATTTCCCTTTAACTGTTGGAATACCATGTTTAAGCACTTTAGGCTTTTGTCAGGTTTGAATCATAATTATTCTGCATTAGTTTATGCGATCATCGATGAGATCTTATTTCTTTCTTTTGGAGATTTTTTTTTTCCTTCTCTGCCAAACTGATCATATTGTCTAATGTAAGTTTCAGGGGAATTCTTTAGCAATTGCATGTGGCTGTTATAACGGTTCACTTCTTAGACAGTTGGGTTAGGGAATGTGACAGAATTGATAAATGTGGCTGTATGTTGGACATTTGAAACCGAGCAGTTAGGAAAACGAAGTTCACAATGGCCGACATTTGAAAGAGTGGCGACCTAAAAAGTGCTGTGTTTCTGTTTTGTTTCCAATTCATATAATCTTCTTTTAGGTTTTTAATACAATTGCCTCCTAAACTTGTCGAGCTTTTACAACTTGCCCTCTAAATTTTTACTTTTGGAAATTTACCCCTCAAATTTGCTTAAATGTTGCAATTAGGCATATTTGACAAACAACTGTTAGATTAACGACGGAATACAACATGTGTTATTGGCATGTGAAGTTATAAAGGGGCATCTCTGATTTTTCTGCCCCCCACGTTCAATTCAAGAGAAAATTCTAGGGCTTTTCCCGTATTTGAGTCTAGGTCTAAATGCTTGCCATTTATTCCCAAATTAAGAACAAGTGCAGAAATAGAAATCAGCAAAAACCCACTTAAATGTGACCACAAGAAGAATCGAATATTCAGCAAAAGATGTGGAAATCATTTGAAATTTGGCCACAACAAGCACTAAGAGATCTTCATGTTCCAGTGACAACCAATAAACAAAGTAAGAACTTGTGGCATTTGGTTGCCTCACGCTCTTCGTCCGAAGTTTGGCCATTTATCTTCAACATGGAGGTCCACCGTCTTCCTCTCTCATGGAAACTTGGCCAAAGGCAGCACAAACCATAAACTTCAAATGTGTTGAGGCGTTTTGAATTTGGATTTTTATATGCAGCATGTGAAGTGTGAACAAACCAGAAATATCCCTTTAGAACTTCACTCGTGTGTATTTCGTCATAAATCTAACTGCCAGTTGTCAAGTGTGTCTAATTGCAATATATAAGCAAGTCTGGGAGGTAAATAGTCAAACTTTAAAGCTTAAGAGGCAAGTTGTAAAAGTGTGACAAGTTCAGGGGTAAATATGCTAAAAATCCTTTCTTTATTTTTCTTTGACGTTAAATCATCTCTCTTCAAATCATTCCTCCTTTCCTTTCAGTCAATCATCATTTGGGACGGTCTCCCATTTATAACTAAATTAATAGTTGAAATTAAACTTGAAATCGGGCAATTGTTTTTACTAAGCAAAAAAAGAAAAGGAAAAAAAAAGAAGAAATGATGCAATGCCATTGGCACGATTCAGTAGAGAAAGAACCAAAGCTCTATCAAGCAGAGTGAAATGAGATAGTATTTGTCCTGGATTAGTAAGAATGAAATAGTGGGTTGATTGGAGGCTTTAATCTAAGTGGGTGTACAAGCACGAAGTATGAGCTTTAATCCCACTCTAGTTGAAACTAGTTACCACGTGTTAAATTCTCTTTTAGCCCACTTAACACTTGAGTTTTCGATTTCTGATGCTAATTGGATATAAAGTTTATCTGGACCTTATATCTGTGATTTATTTATTTAAATCTTTTTCTCAAAGGACCGTGATTTATTATATATTATATAGTTTAAGAAGGCAAATTATTGCTTACCCCTTAAAATTACCGTGAATTGGCTTTTGGACAGATGTTTAGAGGGAAATTGTCATCTTAATTATATTTAGCTTTTTACAGGATGCAAAAAAGCAGACATATTTTTTCGAATTTGAAATTTTGAATGGCCATCAAATTAATCTTGGTCCATTCATTCCTAGTATCAACTGATCATTCCTAGTATCAACTGAAAAAAATCGTGGATGAGTCATTTAGTATTGTTCAGTAACATTCTCAGAGTTCAGCCTTTCACGCCATTTTCCTTTCTGCAGAAGTAAAACTCAATCATTTATGGAGGGTCAGTACTGGTGAGAATAGTAAAGAGGTGGAAGTCCAGAAAAACAGAAACCGTCGTGAGAAGGAAACTATATATCAGACGATCCAGGAGATACCATCAAACCCCAAGGAGCCATGGGACCTGGAGATGGACTACGATGATACATTGACCCCTGTAATCCCAATAGAACAGTCTCCTGATGCCGACGGCATGGAGCCAGGGGTTGCCTCTAATCATGGTGTAAATAATGCAGCGACACATGTTACTCCTGGTCACGGGGCAAATTGTTCTGTTTCTACTTTACAAGTTGGTAATCTGAGCACAGCTGAACCGGATTTAGAGTTGCTCGCTGTGCTGCTTAAGAACCCGGAATTGGTATTTGCCTTGACTTCAGGCCAAGCCGGCAACTTATCAAGTGAGGATACTGTGAAACTGCTTGATATGATTAAGGCTGGTGGGGCTGGTAGTAGTGCCAGTAGTTTCAATGGGATAAATACAGTGGAAGAGAAGGTTGAAGTTTCGCTTCCATCCCCAACTCCTCCGAGCAATTCTGGAACGGTGCGTCACTTTGGCCTGTGTGCAACTTTTGCTGGATATAATATAACTTGTGTTGCCAGTTTTCACCGGCAATATGGGTTGCTCACCGCTAAGCCATTGTTTGTGCTCAACATGATGGTTTTTCTCTTTTTTTTTTCCCCCCCTTCTTTGTTTTTGAATGGGAAGGTATGAATGGGGTCCGAAGCACCAAAAAGAAAGAAAGAAAAGGAAAAATATTGGAAATTTTACAATCACATGTTTGTGCAGTTGGATTCTGGTTGGTGGATCTCCGCTCTCCATTAATGGGATGATGGCAGCTGCATTTTTTTTTGCTTGTGAATTGTGATGGACTAAACAAGTTTAAATGTTGTCCGTCTAGTGCAAGATAAAAGTAACAAACAAATAAAATAAAAAAAACTAATTGTACAACATAAGTTTGGGATAAGAAATAACACTTTGATGCAACTCAAGATAATACTTGGTTAATGTGACGACTATTCATGCCATCTCTGATAATTTTCCTTTCGTTTTCCAAAATTTGCAGACTTGGTGGAGACCGGAATCAGCTAGGAATCCATTTTCTCAAGTCAACAGAGCGGCCGAAAATCCACCAGCAGTGGCTGCCAATAAGTTGGTGCTGCCGCAAATGTCAGCACCTCACAATGATCCTCCACGACAACCGGCTACTGCCCTGTCGGCAATTCCTCAATACTCACTGCCTCAAGTACCTGAAAAATACACTTCTCTACATCACAACCTCCTAAACAGCTCTGCCACTGTACAAAGAAATTCACCCCTCGTTAGCGCACCACTCTTGCATAACCTACACTCTTCACTTAGTGTTGAGAGCTTAAGTAACATCAAACCGGCACATATATCTACTAACTCGTATAGCGCAGAGGAAAGACAGCACAGTGCAATCCCACCAACCCCTTTGGTTCCAATAACAGTGCGGCCGCAGACGCAACCACAGTCACTGCAACACCCACACCATCACCATCAACAACTTTATTCCGAGCCATATCTGCCTGCACCTGCATACGCCAAAGAAATTGGAAAACCGAGTTATGTGCCTGATTCTTGGAGAGGCAGGCAGGGTTTACCTTCAAATTACAACCCGGCTTTAGTGAACCAAAACAATAGTTACAATGCCTCTCCATTTGGAGGCCCTGTGCAGCCTCCTCAGAGTCAGTGGGAAGGGAGTCATGAGTATGTGGAGGGAGAGGAGTTTGAGTCGTGGAGCCCAGACAATAGTCCGACTAGAAACCGTGAGTATGTGATGGGAAGAAACTTCCCGGAACCCAGAATGAATCCCGGACGGGGCTTCCGGCCCGATCAGTTCAGGATGAGGAATTCCTCTGGATACAGAGACCATAATAGGCATGGAAACAGACGGTGGCGTGACCGGAGACGATGATTTGTACTGGATTTTGGGGGCGGGGTTTGTCAGATTTTGTTTATTCATGGTATAAAATGAAATTTTGTTAATAATGGATTTTGTGCATGGTGGCGTTTGGAAATTGAGACTTTATTAGTCTCCTTCAAGGGGTTTGTTGAAACCAGTGGATTACTGCCATTTGCTACTGTTAGAGATGTTCATAACTCGATCATTATTAATCTGACTAAAACAACTCTGATCTGTATCATCTCTCTCTCTCTCTCTCTCTCCGTTTTTCCAACCCCCCTCCCCAGTAAATCGATTCAACTCGTCGAAAGCGGTCAATTGTGGCCCAACATTTGAACTCGAGATATTGGACTTGTGATCTGGTCCAGTGGGAAGCGGTGAAATGTATGAAGTGTTTTCTTGGAATGGAAATTTTCCTTAAATTCTGCTTAGCTTTTTAGTTTGCCTTATTTAGCAAGTGAACAAATCATTAAAAAAAAAAGAAATTTTGAAATGGCGCGTTAAATCAACCACGTGATAGGCAAGCACTCCGGACCATATAGTCAAGCCAACAATCAAAAAGGAAAAAAAAAAAAGGAAAAAGGAAAAGTAAAAGGTATAGACTATACGTGTAAGTATAGTGATTAAAATATTTCTCTTAACTAAAGCATTGTTTGTGTAATTTTAAGAAAGTTTAGGGGTTTAAATTTTAAAATCATAATGTAGGTTTTCCAGGGGCCGGGGTTAAAATTTAATATTTCTCTTAACTGAAATGTTTCCCTTTTTTTTTTTTTTTTTTTTTTTTTTTCAATCTCTCAAGTCTTAAGAACTATAGAGCTTGTTCTTTTAGAGTTTAACTTGAGTATAATTCTTGAGTTGAATTTGAGTTATAACTTGTGTTGAACTAGTAACTTGAGTTTGTGTTTGGTTGTGTACATTTGAGTTATGGTTTGAGATAAGAATCTTTTTGAGTTTGTGTTTGAGTGAGCCAAAACTTGAATTTGTATTTAGATAGTATTTTAATAAAAACTCAATACTGATGAAAAATTTTAATAGGGTATATGGGTCGGGTTTTATTCGTCTTTTCGTTGTCAACGCATAGAAAAAAAATCATCTCAATCAGAATTAAAACGAAAAAGTTATAGCATTTTTAATAATAGAAAAAATATTGTTCATTAATTTGAGTTCGAGTTTCTGAACTCGAGTTGAAGGAGAAACTTGAACTCGAGTTTTAGTCCTAAACTCGAGTTTGAATTCGAGTTTAAACTCGAGTTTAACTTAAAAGAACATGAACTCGAATAAAGTTGTAACTCGAGTTGTATTTTTTTGAGTTTTTCGCTCAAAAGAACGAGCCCATAGTTTTTTTTTCCCTCTTTAACTTCTTATTTTTGTATTTTGAAACAAAGATGGAAAAAATCCCTCCTTGAAACTGCATACTTTTATGTGCAAGCAAATAACTAAAAGTTCAAAACTAGGGCAACGATAGGTGTCAAATATCAAGTAAAAAAAAATCACCTGAAGTTCATTTTATATAGACGAATTTTATATCGTTTTTCAGTAACAATTAGGATGGCAACAAATATTGGTACTACGGCAAGTTTAGCAAAAAGACCTATATATGCCCCTTATCTTTTCTCCGATGGGATAAAACAATCCTCATTCCCGGACATTAACCCATTAAGTTAATTAGATCGGTCATGGGGTGTAGGTACTCGCACTTGGCCTGTTGTTTTTATTTTATTATTTGTTTGAGAACTTGAGTTATGAATGAAAAGAAACAACAATTTTAATTTTCTATGCATAAAACATAATATTCATATATACATACAAGAATTTGACTTAATTATCATAATACAAAAGAAGTTGTTTTAAATTTTTCATATGTTATGCATAAGATATAATTAATTTTAAATAATAAAAAATATAATAAATAGCGCAGATAATAAAAAAAATAAGGCCAAGGACTCCTAACTCCATCCATGCCCTAGCTTGCAACCCGTCGTACGTATATTAGATATTTGACCTGTTTACTACTTGAATCCAACTAGATTGGGTTTAACCCTATTTCTTATGTAATCAAGCTGAATTTCCACGAATAGATGAGTTTATGATGGGGTGAAAATATATATAGTGATCTCTCATAACAAACAAACGGGTTTTGTTTACTATTTATCTTAAGGAACATATTAGGGATATGCAACTTTTGGAGTTGCTTGACTTCCAAAGTATTTAATCATGCAAAAAACAAGAATTCCTATAAGATAAGAATATTGGCAGCATATTGATTTATATTATTAATAATAATATTTTAATAGCAACAACAACAAGATAAATCATAATGCTTGTGGTCGTACGTATACAAGTATGATAGTGATCTACCCTATTTCAACACACTTAACGATGACATTATAAATTTATTCTAGATAATTATTAAATATATATAATATTCATTTTCATGATCACTTAGAGGTTGCTCCGAAGAGGAGGATGAAAACAGCCGCCAAGACGAGGGGGAAGATGAGGAGAGCGAAAGCGGAAGGCCGTTCCACTGGGCCCATCCCCAGCGGAAGAAGCAAAAAAACAGCAGCCCGGTCCGGCACCATCACCACCACAGAAACAATCACAGCAACATTGTTGATCTTCCGTCCCTCCATTAGATGATCTCTTGATATGTGTATTGATATGAAATGAAATACAAGAAAAGTTAAGTTTGCCGTATGTTATTGTTCATATATAGTCTTGCATGGTGACTATTCGCTGGGGTTGGCTAGTGATGCATGGTATGTGACAACGATTCGAAAGAGGAAAATAAGATGGAAAAAAAAAAGGAAAAGGAAACACCTTATACAACGTGCGTTTCGGGCCGCTATAGAGTATAGAGTACGATAACATTTGTCACTCACCGGTTTAGCTCATGGCGATAGCAATATCATATGACTAAGAGTACGTGTATTCTAATATTAGTTCTGTATATTTATCAGAGCTTACACGCAGCCGGCCCTAGCCAAAACACAGAGAGGAAAAAAAAAAGAAAAGAGTGTTTTCATGACAAGAGGCTTAGCTTATCGTTAGTCCTCTGGTCACCAAAGTTTATTTACAAAATTGTCATCGGATGCTTAGTTTAGAGTAGAGTTTGTGCCATCTATAAAGGAGGACGGTTGCCGGATCCAATCAAAATAGAGATGGGATCGTCGTTGGGCTTGAGGTGTTTTTGGACACGTTGGTCTTGACCCTGTGAAGGTTGTGGTTTGCGAGATAAATTGAATTGTCTTGTAGTACACAGATCAATTATCGTCTATGTGTGTTTACCAACTACTTGTTATAATTTCTATCCTTTTATTTCGCTGATATTGATGGGCTTTGTTCTCCTTGGTGTTTTGATGTTCTAGCTTGAAGATTTTTTCATTTTTCATTTATAATAATGGTGGTTCTATTAGTATAGGTTATTGTTCTTTTCATCCGTAAGATTTGTGTGTGTGTGTGTGTAGTTTTTGCAATTTTTGTCTAGTCTTCATACTGTGAATTTCTTGACATCAGTTGATTGGGTTGTTTTCATCGATTGTAGAGAATCTATCAAAGAGCCAGGTGCATACTTGATTTTATGTACCCTTTTCAGTAATTTTCGTTTGTGGAGTTTGGTGCACTTTTTCTCTAAGCTTCATTCGAGTTTATTAATGAAATCAGTCATGTGTATGAATTGATTTTTGTAATGCCTTCTCATATTTTAGAATATCTTATTCATTTTAAAAAAAAAAAGAATACGAGGGATTTTTTTTATTTGTTAAAGGTTTTTTTAGGTTATTGTTTTTTGTTGTTATTGAAAATTTTAAACAAAAGAAAACTATAATTAATCCTTTTTTTTTAATTATAATTAATTCTTGCTCTTTCTAAAAAAAAAAAAAAGAAAGCTTTTGCTCATTAAAAATTAGAAATTGAGAGTTGAAAATATGTTAGAACGACATATATTTTGTCATAGATTATAAAACAAATTTAATTATATGCAGTCTATCTTAGAACAAATATTGTGAATTTATCCTTAGAACAAATTTAAAATGCATTTTTCCAATTTAAGGTCCCATTTTGAAAGTATATTTGAATCATGATTTGAGTTTTGATTTAAATTTTTTGTGAGAGAACTATTAATGATATGATTCACATTCTTTATAAAAAAGAAAACACATAACAGAATAATGACTTAAGTTTGAATACATGTACTCTAAACAACTCTTAACTCATTTAATTATTAGTGGACAAGATAAGAGTTAAATTCGGGCTTTTATGAATGGAAAAAATATTTGCAAGGGCTATGCGTTTAAAAAGGGTATAATGGGCTTTTCACCTTTGGGATATACCCGTTGAAAAGGAGAAGAAAAAGAAACTTGCCCCCATTACCAAAAAAGAAAAAACCTGTAATGTAATTAATTAAAAGTAGCTTCCTCTTTTTAACTTTGAATGCTAAATTATCCTTACTAATACACGCCAATAAATTGGTTAATTCTTTGTTTTTTTTTTGAATTTTTTGGTAATGTGTGTAGTGCAATTTTAGAAAATTAAAAAGAATTGCACTTGTGAGTGTTTTTTTTTTTTAGAGAACTACTCAGGATAATTTTTTTGATTCACATTTTTTATAAAAGAAAAAGAACTGTAACAGAATAATAATTTGAGTTTATATTCATATACTCTAAGACTCGTTCACTTTTATAGATTCGAGTTTTTAATTTGAGTTGAGTTGTGATATTTTTTTAAAGTTTTTAACTGTAATAAAAAAAATTAAATGTGATATTTTCTAAAAATTTTAATTATAAAAACTTAAAATTAAAAATTCAAATCGATAAAATAAATAAGACCTACAACTCCTAACTCATTTAATTATATAATATAATCGTACAATTTATAATTCATGCCCCCACAAATAAAAAATAAGGACCATCTGAATTCGGATGGAAAAAGGTACCATTAAATGATTTTTTAGGAAATGATTAGAATTACTCATATATTTTCAAGAAAATAAAAAGGGATTCCAACGAGGACTATATTTTCAGAATTCTACATATTCAAAACGTGACACATGACTCCAAACTCAACGCTGACGTCTTCTAATCTTATGGGAAAAAAAGAAAGAAAGAAAAAGCTGACGTGGCAGGGTGAATAAGACGTCGTTAGAAACAAATCTCTTTCCGTCACGGCGTTATGTGCAGCTGTTAGGCAGTCAATGTTGCGGCGCTAAACCGCGCCTTGTCTCTCTCGAACATGGAAGAGAAATTCCGTGGCGATCAGTTATCATTTCTTAAAAAAAAAAAACCGCAAACATTTAAGGGATGTTTGGTTGAATAATTTAAAACATGATTTGAATCATGATTTATAGTTCGTTATAGTATTTTTTCTCATAAAAAATATACGTAAATTGAAAATAGTTCTAATCACATTATTCTAATCCATGAACTAAACGTCTCCTTAGAATTATTTGGTTGTATTTTTGAGTTATAGTAATTTGAGTGTAGATTTTCAGTTGAATTTAAATTATAATTTAAATTGAAATTATAATTTGAGTTTATGTTTAGATATACACATTTGAGTTATGATTTGAATTGAGAATCTATTTGAGTTTGAGTTTAGGTGAGTCAAAACTTGAATTTGTATTTAGATAATATTTTAATAAAAACTCAATGACGAGAGAAAATTTTAATAGGGTATATGAGTGAGATTTTATTCGTCTTTTTGTTATAAACACATAGAAAAAAATCATCTCAATTAAAATTAAAAGAAAAAAGTTATCGTGTTTTTAAGAATATAAAAAATATCTTTCATTAACTTGAGTTTGAGTTTATGAGCTTGAGTTGAATGAGAAACTTGAACTCATATTTTAACATAAACTCAAGTTAAAATTTAAGTTCAAACTCAAGTTCAAACTCAAATTTTACAAAAGAATATGAACTTAAATAAAATTATAATTTGAGTTCAAATTTTTTTTGAGTTTGAATGCAAACGAACAAGCTCTTGCTTTTTTTGAAATTTTCAGGGCTTGTTTTTTTTTTTTTAACTCAAGTTACAACTTTATTTAAGTTCACGTTCTTTTGTACAACTCGAGTTTTAACTTGAAGGGGAAACTTGAACTCAATGGTTGTTTTTTTTGCATTTTTGAGTTAGGGTGATTTGAGTGATGATCTTGAGTTGAGTTTGAGTTATAACTTGAGTTGAAGTTGTAATTTGAGTTTGTGTTTTGATATGCACATTTGAGTTATGATTTGAATTGAGAATTTTTTTGAGTTTGTGTTTGGGTAAGTCAAAACTTAAATTTGTATTTAGATAGTATTCTAATAAAAATCAACGGTGATGAAAAATTTTAATAAGATATATGGGTGGAGTTTTGTTTGTCTTTTCATTATGAATGCATAGAAAAAAAATCATTTCAATCAGAATTAAAATGAAAAAGTTATAACATTTTTAAGAATAGAAAAAATACTGTTCATTAATTTGAGTTCGAATTTATGAACTCGAGTTGAAGGGGAAACTTGAACTCGAGTTTAGCTCCAAACTTGAGTTCAAACTTAAATTTTATAAAAGAACATGAACTTTAATAAAGTTGTAACTCGAGTTCAAACTTTTTCTGAGTTTCGTTACAAAAGAACACCCAAGTTCAAGTTATCCTTTCAACTCAAGTTCCTAAACTCAAAGTCAAATTAATAAACAATATTTTTTCTATTCTTAAAAACGCTATAACTTTTTCATTTTTATTTCGATTTAGATGATTTTTTTCTATGTGTTCACAATGAAAAGACGAATAAAACCTCACTAATATACCCTATTAAAATTTTCTATCACTATCGAGTTTTTATTAAAATACTATCTAAATACAAATTCAAGTTTTGACACACCCAAACACAAACTCAAATAGATTTTTAATTCAAACCATAACTTAAATGTGCACATCCAAACACAAACTCAGGGCATGTTTAGTTGTTAATTCTAGTTAAAATGTGATTTGAGATCTTTTTACTGTAACAAAAAAGTTAGATGTGACTGTTTTTGAGAATTTTTTGCTGTATAAAAACTCAAATTCTAAATTCAAATCGGTGAAATGAACGAGACCTCAAGTTACAACTTTAACTCAAGTTATAACTCAAATTCAACTCAAAGGCTCCGTTCATTTCGCTGATTCGAGTTTAGAATTCGAGTTTTGCTACAGTGAAAAGCTCTTATAAACAATCACATCTAACTTTTTTGCTACAGTAAAAAGCTCTCACATAAAATCACATCTTAACTCGAATTAAAAACTCGAATCAGCGAACTAAACGGCCTAAAATCTACACTCATAACTCAAAAATGCAACCAAACAAGCCATCAGTTTCTCAAACTCACTTTCTCTCTCTTCGGAAGCGCAGGGATTCGCCGTTGACGGCGTCAGAGTTTGACCGCTAAGGTGGACGGACTGGCTTCGAGAAATTTCTTTAATTCATTTTCTTTCTTGCGGTGGAACCAAACGAACTGTACACTGTAACTTTACAAGCTCCGGAGAGGAGAATAGTAGCGATTTTGATTCGATTCGATTCCATTTGATTGTTTTTTGTTTGTTAATTTCAAAGTAAAATTCAAGTTGGAAATCAACTCTTTACCTTTAAATTTCGCAGAGTTTTCTTCCCAAAAATTTCTTCGATCTTGTTTGTTCGCCGACTATGGGATTCAGATTCCACAATCTCAATCCAATTTACAGGATTTGCTTGTCTAAGCTTTCTCCTAACACAAGCAATAGTTATCACCGGAATTCCCTACTTCAAGCCAGCAATTTCCTTCTTCTCCAAGACCCTAGCTTGAATTCCATTTACAACATCCCCAGAAGGTGGCATTTGGGCCATTCCCACAACGGCGGCCATGAAGACCGGCGCCGCGTTTCCGGCAAGGAGAGCGAGAAGATATTCCGGCTAGGTCTCGCGTCCGACGTCGTTTTGGCTGTCGGAAAGGCTCTCACTGGCTATGTATCCGGCAGCACTGCAATCGTCGCCGATGCCGCCCATTCGGTCTCCGATGTGGTATTCTTCATTGTCCCTAATTGTTATTGTTTACTCATGTTATGCCATTGTTGCTCAAATAGAGAAAAAAATGTGTTTTTTTGCTTATGTTCGTTTCTGGCGAGCTGAGAATAATGATCAATATGTTTTGGAATGTTCATCATTTCCAACTAAGGGAAGAAATAGTTCGTAGTTCGGTTAAGAATCAACTCTGTTTGATATGTAGATCTTGAATGTGTTGAGATAGAGGTTTCTGTTTATTGTATTTTGATTGGTTGATTTAACAGCACTGAGGTGTTTGTATTGATTGGTTCCATGCCGGATTTTATGATTTAACAGCACTGAAGTGTTTATTCTAGCTATTCTTATGGAGGACTTGAATATTGAGATTATTGAAATCAAAATTGTATTTTCTCTCCAATTTTGGGGGTTTTACTCTTAGCCATTGGTTGACGTGAGTTCTCCCAATTTCGCTGACGAATTACGAAAGCCAAATAACAAAATTAAAGCTAAGTTGATAAGCTAAAACAAACTATAATACAAACAAAAGAAACGACTATGTTAACTAAATTCTCCTACATCTATTGGGATGCGGCCATTTACAACTGTTGGTAACTCTCTGGCAAGAAATGTTATTAAGATGCATTATTTATTTATTTATTTATTTTTTCTGTGGTAGGAATTATAATATTTGAATGTTTTTAGATTCAAGATTGTTAGTCTAACATGAAACATCGCCAGAGGTTAGGTTTGATGCAAATGGGATTAGAATGTACATAAAAATAGGAATACAATGGAATCAGAATAGGATTAGAAACTAGAAAGAAGGATTTATTCCAATTCCAATGTTTGGTTGAAGTTTGAACATTAGACACCAGAATTACGCTTGTTATGTTAGTCATTAGAACAGATTGGAATTATTACGATTTTGACAAATATACCCCTTAGTTTAATCTCTAATAAGATCTTTTATATTAGGATGGTGGTAAGGATTACTAGGATATTCGGAAGGTTATTTTGGGAAACAAGTTTTAGTTGACCTCAAATTTGGACCGGAATGATTATTCTGTTGGTCTGCTTAAGGAAAGATATTCACACATTTTGGTGGTATAGCAATTCCTATTTCCAAATCTTTTTCTCAACCAAACATAGAAATGATTGTTCTCTAACTTTTCCATTCCTCCATCAAACAAAATGTTTACGTTGTGCTCACATTCCTAAAAGAGGGTAATTCTCAACTAGTTGGTCCTTTATTTGCTCATATCATCGTCTATCGTCTATCGTCTATTGCATTCAGCAATCAAGTCTATATTTCTGTCAATGGAAGAATGCAGTTTGCATTTGTTTTACAACTTGATGTACAACACTTTACACAAAGGCATCTCTCATTACGTATTACTGCAAGTTCAATGAAAAGTGATGCAAAGTACCTCTCCTTATCTCAGATCAGTTCTTCATTTGTTTGTTTTTGTTTGTTTTTCCTGTAATACATCAACTTCACTGCGACCTGTGAGGTTACCATCACATTTATTTTGTTTTGTGTCTGCTTACTATGGTTGTTTTGATCATTTTTGCAGGTTCTTAGTGGCATCGCTTTGTTGTCATTTAAAGTTGCAAACACTCCTAAAGACAAAGAACATCCATATGGTCGCTTTTGATCTGTACCTACTAGCTACTCCATGGATCTCAATTTATGCATTTTAATGTCTTTGTTGCTCTGCAGTCTGCACTATCACTTTTTATATTGTCCTTTACTACTTTGATATTTCAAGTCCCTTGATTGTTTTCTTGGGATTTAAATGGTAAAAAGTAAAAAATATTTTTTTCTTCCTAGGTTGACCAAATTCTTTTTTCTGTAATCCTCTTCAGTTGTTTTCCAATGCATATTCCCATGAAAGGCGTGTGTGGTTGTCAATATACATATCTATACCTCAGTGCTGTCTATTTCATAATGGTTATGGTGGTCTATGTTACTTGGACTGTGATATTGGTGTCTAATTTGGGTAGAGATCCTAGTGTGGGATGTATGTCCTTCCAATCTAATTTCTATGCAGCCATGGGCTTACCAAGATTTTTTATTCCGTAAGGCTGAAAGATCGACTATAGATGGTCATGCATCTTATGCGTAGTCCTAAAGATGATGTCTCAAATTGTGTGTGTGTGGGTGGGTGGGTGGAGGCATATTCTTTTTTTTTTCCACATTATATTTTACATTTTCATTATTTCCTCTTCTTCTTTTCCCAGGACATGGTAAATTTGAGACTTTGGGAGCCCTTGGAATCTCTTGTATGCTTTTGGCAACTGCTGGTGGCATTGCGTGGCATGCTTTTAATTTGTTGCTCGTATGTCCATGGTCCCTAAAATAATCAACTAAAAATGGACTATTCTTTCATCTTCTTATTGGGTATTCAAGATGTTTTTGTTTAATATATTGTGAGCAGATTATCTTTTTGTATACTTTTAGAATAGATGATTTGCTTATGCAGGGATTGATGTCAACAGAGCAGCATCTAGTTGACCACTCTTTAATACAAGATCAAGGTCATAGCCATCGTGGTGGTGGACATCACCATGGAATTGCCATGGAGCATCCTGTTCTGGCTTTGACTGTGACTATTATGTCAATCTCCATCAAAGAAGGGTAAGAAGCTATATGTATCTATAAAATTCTTTAAAAGCAGATTTAAGTAGCTTCATTTCTCCCAACTTCTTTTACGTTCCTTCACGTGATAATTCCCACTTCTCAATATGCTATTTTCTTTGCCCTTGTAATTTGTATATTTATTTTGCAAGTTCCATATTGAATTAAACCAGTCTTACAAAAATATTTTAAGCTGTTCTGTTATCTTAATGGCCATATATATGTTTGTGTTTGTCATTCTTCCTTATTTATCTTAACCTAGGCTTTACTGGATCACAAAGCGAGCAGGAGAAAGGCAAAATAGCGGGCTGATGATAGCAAATGCTTGGCATCATCGTGCAGATGCCATATCCTCTGTGGTTGCTCTCATTGGGGTTGGTAAGAAGCTTCGACTCTTCTAAAAATTCTGTTTGCTTTTTATTTTCCTTTCAATGTGCATCCATGCTTGAATCGATGAACGGTGGTTGTAGAAGTAGCTAAAAAGTATACGTTCATGTTCGTTTTTGCCTAAAGTGGTTGTCTTTTCCTCTTTTCACTCAAGTTACAAACCTCAACTTGTGAAGTTTACATTCATATCCATTAGTGTGTAATCCATATACACATTTCAACTTGGGAAGCTTACATGTGATCACGTTGACTAAATATTTGACTATCCGGATTTTAGGAGGATCTATTCTTGGAGTGAAGTTTCTCGATCCCCTGGCTGGAGTTGTTGTATCGGGCATGATCCTGAAAGCAGGGCTTGAAACTGGTTATCAAAGGTTTATATTGAATCCCAATCTTATATATCACTTGTTTGCACTTGCAATGCATTTTACTTTTATCCAGCATGCTATAAAATGTCTAGAAACCTGAATCTGGTACACGGTCTCTCTACATATCTATGGTACATTTCTTTCCTGATTGGATCATGGTCACAAAGCATATTGCAAGCCTTTGTTAAAGTAATATTACAGAGACATAATGGTGTTGTTGCTTGGTTCAGC